TATTTTAAGCGTATTTGCTGTACACTAATTACATTATTGACAAAAATTGCATTTGATTATCATTTTTCATATTAGCTGAATAAAATAAAATTTTCATTGCAAACTATCTGTACTGATTGATTTATTCTGGTAGTATATAATTATTGTTAATGAATGATAGGTTAATAATATTAAAAACTTGGCGTTAATAAGCTCAATACTTTCAACTCAGTATTATACCCACTAACCTTCTGATACCAAAATATCACAACCAAACTAAATTATCGCTTGCTAATGATCTTAAAGTAATCTTAATTAGTCTACGATCGAATAGATAACTTAAGTAAAATATCGAGAAGAAAATCAAATTATGGGTGAGGGTATATGCTTCATTTTAATAATTTAGAGCATAACCAGCAAAGAAAAATTTACGAATCCTTACCGTTAGTGATTTATCCTCATTAGGTAATATTTGGGAATGTCTTTTCCACCACCAACCATTATCTTGGGCCCAAGCAGTTAATATAAGTAATGGGAAAAAGGCTAATGTAATCCATGCTTCGAATATATCAATTTTATTAGGCGTCCATACGGTAGTTACAATCAACATCCACACATAAGCAAATACCGACCATATTGCCGTGATAATAAAAACGCCAAACTCTTTAACGCGTTTATAATGAGGAGCCGGTACGCTAACGATACAAACTGCGGTTATAATTAATAAATTAAATGACGCTGAACCAATAATAGTAAATGACCCTAAACCATCAGCTACACTGTTAGGATCAGATATTTCAGAGACTGTTTCAACAATAGATAGCAAAATCTCGGGCGCCGATGAACCTAACGCCATTAACGATAGATTGGCTACCGTCTCATTCCATATTAATACTTCTTTAGTCGCCTGTTCACCGGTTTCACGGTCGTAAGTAATAACAGTTTTCTTTTTGCTCGTTATAACTTCAATAGCACCCATAAAGACGTCAGACATGATTGCAACACCAACAAATAAGTAAATCATAGCAGCAATGTATAGGATGCAACGTACAGCTGGATGCCAAAAATTTTCACCTATTATTAATAGCCAACTACTGCACGATCCGTCATATTCAACGATGAAACCGTTACTAAAATTATAGAACGTACTTCCATTTGGGATGGCAGCCATAATTTAAAATCTTACGTCAACTTTACCCCGACTAATAGGCAAGAGAAATATATAAATAGTAGCGATCAATTTTCGATTGGTAGTAAAGAGTAATGTTAGATAACGTTAAAGAAGAAATTTTTAATACGTGATAAAGAATATGCAGAATTGATATGTAGAAGGTATGATAACAAAAACAATATTAGATTTTTCCAATATTTAGTACTGTTACTGAATCAATTCGAAATTAATTTGTAAAATTCGAGTGAACTCTAGGTTAAATAACCAATATCGCGCCCGATGATCTACTTACAGATGACAACTTAGCAATTTAAATGGTAAACATGTTATAAATTTAATCTAATTAACTTGGTATATATATATAAACAATTTAACAGGAACAACCAGACAATTTAGATGTTCAATTACTTTTCCTTGAGTTTGACTTCAGATTAATTAACAATCATATATTGATTGTAGTTTGATGTAGCGCTAATGTTTAAATAGTTGAGGGTAAATGTCAATAAGTTGAAAATTCAATCTAATGGGCACGTTAGTTATCAATAGATATAAGTAATCATAAACGCAGTTTTATCAGTTAAAGGTGATTAAAACTGACGATAAATGTTAAAAAATATAAAATAAAGTAATTTCCCTTTAATCTTCACTATTCAATGCTGACTGAGGGCTCCACTTCAATAATTAAAGTTCATGATTCGAAGAAATGATCAGTCAAGAATAGAATAGCATTAATAAATAATTAGACGGGACTCTCTATCTTATTTAATTTTTGATAAATGTGCCAATGAAATATCTTTCATGTATTCCTAGGCTTAGACAGCTTTTGACTTGAATTTGATGACTGTTTGTCGTAAAATTGAATTTCAATTTATCCGTAATGCTAATGATGAAAGAAATCAAGTTGTTTAGATTTGACCAATTTATGGTATTACGAATTTTTTTCTTATTATCTCTATCTGGGTTTAGATCGATGAGATGACGTTATGAATAAACAAAATATTAAAAGTTCTTTTATAAATTTAAATATTCTGATGGAGCATGAAAGATGAAGAATTTCTTTTATGAACTATTCCACTGTATGTTCTTCTTGTTACGGTACTATCCTGAGAAAATTTTAATAATTTTTCTCAACCTTAACGTGAGAATGATAATAGTTGATGTACTAAATTACCAGTATTCATCTTTGATGAGAAAACTGAAATAATGTAATTATCAATGAAAGCAAGTAGACAGGTTAATATGTATGAAAGATTAACAATATCCAGGATATCAATAACAAAGATATCACTTAGTAGTTTGAAAAGGCGTAGAGAGGTTAATGATTTTGTTAGACAGTAAAATGAAGAAATGACTTTTATAGACAGAGCTCTTTGTCAGATTATTTTCTTTGATGAGCCAAGTTAGTAAATTAATATTATCGATATGAAATGGAGACTTGTATAATTCCTTTAACAGTTTGGATAGTTCTAGTAGATACGTTTATAATAATCTATTAGCAAAATTTGTTAAACAGCAGAATGATCACCTCTAAGTACATATATATGTATATTTATTTATAGAGGAAAAATGTTAGAAACTACGGTACCTTATAGTATCTTCCCGTTATTATTTTCGCTACTGTTGTATGCTTTTCCTTACAATGATTACTTTTACTCAAAGAGCGTTGTTATCCAGCCAATGAACTGTCTTTAAAATAAATTGTTTCAGAAAGATTTTATCGGAAGAAAAGTGCAAAAATTATTGATTTTCACTTTCTTCTGGAGAATTTTATAAGGCTGCTAGGAGAGAATTTGAGGTAAAATACTGGAAAGCCTACTAATTCGAGGAAAAATAATTTTAATAGTAAGATTTTAGTAAAATAATTAATATTATTTTTAGACGTAACATAATACGAAGAAAAGTGTAGGTGTCAGTTTAAAGTAAATCATTTAGAATCAGCTGGTGTATCATCTTGATTGAATAAAAGATTCGACAGAATTGGATGTAAATTACTATCTAGCAAATTTAATAAACCGATGAAAAACTACTATACGCAAATTCAATCAAATCCGATAACTTTACTAATCCTAATAGAAAAAGTTAATACTACAAAGGCAAAAATTAGGTCCATAATATAGATCACTTGCATTGAGATTGTATTGTTTCTAAATCAAAAAAATAATTTCAATGCAATTGCTTCGAATATCGTCAGCAAAAGTAGTCGTGTAAATTTCAAATTTAAGCTAGAACTTCATTCTTTAACAAGGTGATACTTCACTGTGTGAAATATTTTTTAATTTAATACTTCGTCGTTGATTTTTATATTTCAACATATTTTAACATGAGATGCATAGTTATATATGTATATATATAATGTACTGAAAGTAATGATATTTCCAATATCGCAAACGATTTATTACATATGCTGTGATATAAATGGATTGATAAATAAAATCTGAGATTTCCTTTCGCGTTATGATAGCCATCAATTGACTCATTTAAATACAATTTACTTCCTGTTAATACTACAATAACGTATGGAAAAAGCAGTCAAAGGAAGCCTTTGAAGCAATCATGAAATTACGGTTATAGATGGAACACTTCTTACTCCTCTTAAAAGATGATATGATGTTAATTTACGTAACGAAAGGACCTTCTGGTGATTTATCGTATTAGTCATTGCATAATTGAATCATCGTCAGTTAAATTGGTATACTTGAAAAGTAAAAAATAAGGATGCAATAGCAAATAATTATTTTTTCTATACTTATGTGTGCTGAAATGGATGTTCGTACATTTTAATCTGTTACAAAGTTTTAAGTTTATTATAACAGCAAATATAAGAGAATAAATAGCCGAAACTATGCAAACGTTTTATAATGTATAAGGAGCAATAATAAGAAGAACCGATGCTAAAAAAAATTATGTAAGATAATCATGTAGATGGTTATATTAATAATCATGTAGCACGGTAGTTAATATTGTTAAAAATATACTAAATTTAACATTACTTGCACCGGTACGGTAGTGAAGAACAATTTACCCCATTAAATTTGATAGAAGAAATGGTATTTAAATTGAATGAAAAAATACACATTTACCTTTGATCACGATCCACTTTTTCTTAATATCGATTGGTTTAAGTGCAACCGATACGCTCGCTCTTTGATTTATTGATTCAACTTCCACTTTATGGATCGGCCTTTAATCGATGACCATTAAGCACTCGTACTTATTATAATCTTGAAAGGCGCAACCTAACGATTCAAACTTTCAATAGTAATTTTAAATCTTTTTCCTTTTGTTAATTACAGTATATTTGATGATCGTAATTTGATTTCTTAATAATTTTGATACTTAGGCGTGCTATTACTAAGAAGCCAGACAAAACAGAATCTCGATTTTTACTCATCAGTAAATCGTAATTATACACGTATATTTCTTAGATGGGTTAAATTGGTATCCAATACAGGCTAAGATACAGATGATAGAATAGTAAGAGACAATCAGAGTGCAGTCAACTGTTCTATTTTAATCATCATAATAGTAGAAATAGACTGAACGACCAAAAAGGTGAAGTCTGCATCAATAATATTCCACTATGCGTCCATAATGGTGATCTATTTAGTTAAATAAAGCCTTGATTCCTTTTTTGTGTATGTGTTATAGAATTATTGGATAATAGGTGGTTGTGACGACGATTTGTATTCTCTTTATCTATTCCAATCCATTAGTAAACAAACTGCAGTATGCAAATAAGTTACTAGAACCTCCTTAGCAACCTTCTAACTTTAATAATAATGAATAGTTCCAAATGAGAGAATAGCCCATCCTATTAAATCTAATAATAAATATATATAATCATTATAATAGCTCCTCTTAAAAACCATATTTTTCTCAATAACAATAATCTTTTCATATGAATATCCATAGTTGGCTATAAAAATAATTCACTCTGTTAATAAAGTGTGTAGCAGCTACGGATGTCTAATCAATCGGTGATTGTCAAAGTAGAGGTAAACACTAAGATAAAGATTGATACTTAAAAAATAAGTTATTATTAACAGTAAGTTGCTTTTATGTGAAGAAGAAATTCAAAGAGTTAGAAGATAGCGCAGAATAGGATAGGACAGTATATTCAGTCATATAAGATTTTTCAACTTACAGGATATGTCATTAATATCGAAGCTAAGTCGTTATCTTGGCATACAGTAAGCTTAAATGTGAAATAGAGTTACAAAATCGAATAGTAGCTCGGCTATGTCACTACATGTATCAATAGAAAAATTTCCATAGCAATATCTTGCTTGAAAACAAAATTTAATTACCGGCTAATTCGGTAAAAATATCTGATCTGCCGATAAAATCAAGTAATGATAGCTAGCTTGCTGTACAGGTTATGTTTCGGCTGAAACTAAATTTTTATAACCTCCTTAATTTCTATCTATGATGGCAACAAGATTATATGAAAATCACAAATAGTTATGACATCATTAACTTAGATTATTCATAAAAACACATTATAACAATGCGATTCAAATAGAATGATTGAACTTATTATTTTATTAGGGTACAATAGTTGAATAATTAACCGCAGCAGTTGAAATTTTATTTCACTAACTAGGAAACACAATTATCACAACGTGAAAAAAGAATAGATAGACAATGTCTAATAGCTTTAATTGAATCGACGATTACAATGATGGTAATAAGCTGAAGAAGAACAGGCTTGATAAGATATGAATGTTGTAATAGGAGTATAGCAACGAAGTAAGGCAAGTACGTGTATAGTAACATATACGTGCTCTTACGCTTAATACTAATGCTGACTAGTTCATCATCGATTGGCAAGTAAAAGTACTGTACAGTATTGTAGTGCTGTACCGTACATTTGTACAGCATACAATACACGGTATAAAGTTACTGAACCTCTGACAGGTCTATCAAATGGTAATACTATCTGTTAAATGAGCACATTATCGTAAACCGTCAGCAAAGCGACGGGAGTTTGTACTAGTATAATCGAAACGAACTATATTACTTGAAAAATGTACCTACTATATTCAACAGTCTATATTGAAAGATTGTAGCAACATGTATTGCCATCCATTCTTCTTTATGCCAATATGTGACAGAACTTTTAATTACTGAGCAAATATTCAGTTTAATCGAACAGTTGCAAATGCCGTCGGAAGCTATGTCCAAGTAATTGATTTAATATATTTCGCTGGCTTGTTTGATTATTCGTCAAAATTACAACATTGGACCATTAGAAACCTATCATCGAAATAAAAACTATCAGGAAAATAAAAATGAATTTTACTCCGACTTAATTACTTGGAAATTGATACCACTATGATATTTTAATTGCAAATTAAATCTATTTCTGTATAACAATATGAAATAGTCTATAGTAAAACAAAAGTATAAAATGCTATACTAAATAGTCATACATACTGAAATTAGTCACCAAAATAGGATATGTTACCTAGGATAAGATATTTTGAAAGCTATGCTAACAAGACAATTGCTACTGTGATCAATTTTATTGAATGAAACTTCTTACCAGAAATTATTAATAAGCTAGCAGTTAAAAGTTTCAATACATCATTAGGTCATTTATACAGTTATACATGGATATTATGGGAAATGATATAAAATCCGGAGGTTCGTTTGAGATGTCGCCCAGGGGCTTATTCTCTTAACCTGTCAATTGATAGAAAATACGTGATAATATTCGTATTTCGTAACATTCTTAACTTGATGATTAAGCTTGCCTATTTGTGACTTTATCTGTTAAAATATACCTCGCATGCAAGATATATTGTATTGTATTCTTAATATTATTATCAACAACTAATACATGCAGTCTGTACAAACAGACTTATACCCGAGGCTACCAAAGTATAGTATAGCACAGAAAGGCTATGTATGTTAAGGCCGTATAGATGAACCACAATGGTTAGAGCTTGCAAGTGTTACGGTATAATCCTCCGTCCAGGGTATAAAAGCTGGGAGTTTTTAAGTGAGGGATAGTTGGAAAGACTTGGGATGTCGTGTATCCAATCATTCTGAATTAGCACTAATCCACTCTAAATGCATATATCATATACTACTACAGAGTAATTCACAAAAGTAAATGTTGCATATACGAAATCAGTTGACTCTCTATATATAGGCACGTATATATACGAGTATATATAAATTTTTCAAAAATAAATTTATAAATAAGTACACTCATGTTGATTATACAAATAATTTAGAGGGTGGCAGTATCCATGTGCGCTTTAATGGACCTATGCCTATTGAATTACTGGAAAATATATGAAATTTGCTATCGACAACGTATATGTAGACATAAAAGAACCAAGTAGTTAGATGATATGATAGTTATAGAGGTTGGATCATAAATAAATGCTTAATTAGGTCGCAGAGAAATGTGGCATCTTGAACTGTGTATAACAGTAAACACAATACCTGAAACATGAACGTAATCTGGGCTACTATGAAAGGATAGCAGTGTAATTTATGGCCATATCTAGGCATCAACAAATACTGTAATACTTGAATATCGGGCTGCTAATAGATTTATTGTACTCATACAACAGTAGGCAGAAAAATGACTAGCAAACAACATGAGCTACTAGGATCTAGTTTATACTATCAGGCGTCACTTTGTCTGGCATTTCAAAGCAGGCGATAACTGATTACAGATTTGCTTCTAGCAGTACGTAATTTCTTTGCTTCATATTTTACGTAGCTATCTGTTCATACATACAGTATACAACTTCATACTTACTGAAATTATTTTATCGTAGTTAATATGTAGATATACGAGCAGATAAATATAAAGATCACTTCATTTATACTCTATCAGCATAGGCCGGAAATATAGTAGCTAATGATAATTTCCAGGGTCTACTTAAAAAGTAAGTATCGTTTTTAGGTAGTTCCTATAATTTCTTTACATGTTACGTACAGGATACTCCAAACGTCAATTAAAAGGCTTATATAGTACTTCCTTTTCTAAGTTTAGAATAAATTGAAGTCTTTTTGGCTTAAAAGTGCAATATATATTCAAAGATTACAATAGTAGATGTCATTCACTGTGAAGTTAAGTTTTGTATATTTCCGTTTTCTTCTTTCTTTTGTTCCCTAGATATACTCGTAATTGATATACGTGTATATATCGCTTTGACTTAAGTTTTTTTTCCGTAAATCTTTTGGTTGTTTAAAAGTACGATATTTACTTCTTGTTTTATAAAGCCAAGTTTAAGAAAACATAAACTGATATTCACAACAATTTATGAAATTATAATTGCTTCCTTAGTCTGATAAGAATTAGTAAAGGTATGCCTGTTTCATTTATTTATTATTTCTAATTTCTCTCTCCACCCGTTTTTATCCATTTTGAATTTTAAAATAGGGCTATCTGTAACTTATAGTAACTATTGAAACTTAAAATAATTTTTCATGCCTTACATCATAAGATATCTTGGAAATGTCAATCTGAATAACAAGTAATTGTCAATGTTGGCTTCTATTGATTATTTACTGTAATTCGGTATACGTCAATTCCTCAAAATATCTGCTGTGGTACTGCCAAACATAAGCCAGTATATACTTATTATAATTAGTGTCTATGACGTCAAATGTAGGATGGAGTTAAGCAGTGAGCAACTGAGCATACTGTTTTTAATAGTGTGCTTCTCTGTTTGATAGTCGGTGTCGCAATCGTATGAGGTTTAAGTTCTCATCTTGTTACTACACCTTCAATTTTTTATTCATTTGTCATAATAAATAATTTTGGTTGCGATTACTATGAACGAAAAGGGTTCATGGAAGACAGCACGTAAATTCAAGTCTGGAAAACAATGATAGTTTCCCAAGAGTCCAAAGTAAGTAATGTGCTAAAAGTTTCATAATAGCGATGAAGATCAATTCCGTGACGTAGTTTTCTCGAAATAATCAGGTATCATAATTGTACAATGTACATGTACACTGGCATAGTATAGCTTATTAACAATAGTGATATAATTTTATACTATAAATTCGGAATTACTGTACCTGTTAGCGCGCCTATGCCAGATATTACTTCAACATATATAAGATTTGGAAGGTATCATTACCTTTTCCATTATACGTGACCGGGAATGTATTCAGCTAAGTCTGTTTAAATATGCTAATAACTTGTCCAGTCATAGTTCCGGAAAACTCAGTAATATAAACATTTCAGAGTTACCTCTCAAGCAAAATACGCATAGTGAGTGCGGTATTCTAGTTAAACTTTAGAAAGTGAAGACAGTTTCTTCTATTACATTCTTATTTCAGGCATGCATGCTATGTTGAATAACTAGTTTAAAGACTATAAGTATTTAAATTATTTGTAAAGGGTTCGAGGCCAGAATCTCGAAAAATTGTTGGAAAATTTCCATGTTTATTCCTACGTACGCTTTCGTTTCTTGCTCTTATCATTTATCTACAATTGATACACTTAAAAGAGTATTCAAATTTGAATTATAAAACGTGATTCTAAATACAAAATTAACAGTTTTATTGAAAGTACAGAAAAGGAACTGTAATCTATATAATAACCTGCTGTAGCTCCAAAGTAGATCATGACGCAGTCAAGCGATTCCGTTTTTGAGCATTATGAAATAAGCTCAAATTACATAAGCACAAATTACAAAAGTACTACAAGTTGCCATACATGTATACCGCAACTGTTAGAATCAACAGTATTTTTGATATTACATAATTTCTATACACTACAATGTACGATATCTATAGCAGAATGTATAGACATATACAAATTTCATTTACTCATTTTACAGAAAATGGAAAGGATAGTATATTTACGATAAATATTTCTTTTCAGCTTCTTCTAATGTCAAGTTGTAATGTGATCGAAGGGAACGTATAATAGCCTAAAATTGAAACATGAATAGTATTACTTCTTGGAGTATACTACATGAGTAAAACCGTTTACTGTACATTCTACCTAAAGTCAAAACTGCGTTAGTGCTTAAAATCAAATAGTAAGCAGTAAAATACCTCAGGCAGGAGAACATCATAGCAATAACTGCGACACTGAAAAAATATATCGTCCGGATTTAAGTCGTTGTTAATTTCATAATAAATTTCTTCTAGCGTACTCATCAATTCGTGGTACTATGTCCCCAATATTTAAAATCACGTAAATGGCAACAATTAGTCAGTATTATTATAAAATATGACAAGATTGATTTTCGCTGACCAATGTTCTTCTGAGTGACAGGGGCCTCGTTAAACTAACGAAGCCTATATATTACTTACTTGATTTTTGTGTATTGGTCCAAAGCCAGCTTGCAATTTTAGATCCGCAACAGCCGACCTACTTCCCAGTGTAAAAATTTTATGACGCCAACTACTTTCTTCCCCAGCATGTATTCTCTTAAGCATGCTCTTCATATCATCACTCACGATGATATTCATTAAATCCTGGCTTAACTGGCTACAACATGACCAGATTTGTCGTTAACTTGGCTTAAATTTGAGTTAACTATCAAATTGCAGTTAATTCATACCGATTAATAACTGTATCATCATCTTCGATTTCATCTTCATTTTCACTTTCTAGTAATAAAATGTATTAATTAAAATTAGTAAAGGATTCCTTCACCGAATCTGTTCTACTGCATGTTATGAATAAATTTATAGTGTATCCGTACCATATTTAAGAATTTCTTCAGCTAAAAATTCAATATCTATGATAAAACGAAATTAGGCAAAAATCGCAAATCAATAATTCAATACCTATGAAACTACCGATTGAAATATACCCTCATCTGTGCGGTTCAGGAAAGACTCAGCAAGATTTACGGCTTGCGTAAAATCTTCATGGAGTTTCTCTTCAAGATGTCTCGCCTTCCATCAACAAAATCCAACAACTAATAATTAATTTATTTATTAACGTTAAGGAATCGGTATATCAATCACTCAGTTCGTACTCTATGTTCTTGGCATTCATCAAAAAATTGCCATTTTCGTGTATTTGGAATACTGTATCTACGTTAGAAAGAATTCTTTTCTCAATAACAGTTCCTTCTATCGAAAAAACGCTTAGAGACGCATCAACGCATCATTACAATGTAATATAACTTCAGTTAAAATTATAGTTTGATTTGCTAATAGTCGATAAAGTAAATTACACATACATGTCTTGAATTTGAAAGAAGATGATAATAAATTTTGCAGCCTTATTCGTGCCAAGAATATCATAGATCTAATAGCAGTCCGAGTGTGTCAGAGTTAAGCACATGTTGCAAATACGTATGAAAATTCATCTGATATTTATCTTACCATTGCCGGCCAGTAGGAAAGCAATTTGTGTTTGTACCAAATTATATCACCAGGTTCAGGAGTTCCTAATAATTTTTAAAATAAAAGTTTTTCATAATTAAATAACATACGATACTTTAGTAAATCCGTGGTATTAAAATAAAATTTTAAAAACTAGTACAACATACGAGTTACTTCTTCATCCGTTGTGTTATTGTTCTTGTCGCCTGTAATTCGGAGTCAATCGTATAAGTATCTCTTCAGTTAAGAGCCGTTATAAGTTATTGTCTTACAGACAAGAATGTAAATTTATACCATTGTCTATCTTGGATACTCGGTATTGATCTTTAATGTAGTCTTTGGCTTCAGTCATAGCTTTTTTAAACATTTCTTTTGCTACTATCTTTCCGAACAAAGCTATTCACGAAGTCATGTAGTCTCTTAGTACAATTGATTTGTCCCTCACACTAACTAGTGTGAGTGTTAGTGCGAAAATGGATAATCCTATGCTAAGAACTATGTCTCTATATGTCTATGCGTATATTGCAAGTTCTACATATATTTTTATCTGATCTAACTTTTCGAATGCATCCCTGTCTTTATCATTTTCCTCTTTTCCTTGCAATTCCATAACCGGATTGAATTTGAACTTGACTTGAAGCTTTCCCTGTTGTTTCATTATTAACATGAAAATCGGTAAATGAGCAAAATTAATGCAGCTTGCATATCTTAAAGTAGCTACATATGATATAGCTGAAAGCAGTATCATATTAATGAAATATATTCGACGCTGTCAAAGAATCCAAGCTACATACATGGAGTTTTCTCCGAAGAAAGAGACAGTTATGGTTTCCGTTGCGTCGCTAGTTTCTATATCAATTACCTAAGAATGGCATACAATGCAACATCAACTCAAAGCTGGTTAAGATTGTACTGGAGCGTTTCAACTTTTCAACCAGAGTTATTTATGACATAAAGGGAAATCCAGAGTAAGAAATTCAGCAGATTATGCATTGAAAAGGGATTAAGCTAACAACTACATACACACGTGGTAATAATTATAATTAAGAAATCAATTTAAATAATGTTCCGTTACCTTTGCCGGCCACCAAGGGCAGGTAGGAAATTTGGCCCAAAGGTAGTCGCCTTCTGAAACTTAGAGCCGAATAAATTGTGTTAGTAATTTAGTATCTTATACGCCTACACTAGTCTCTTGATGCTTTAACTAAACTACAGCAAGCTAGCTTTAGTCAATCCATGGCAAAAGGTTATGTATACTATAAATACAATAGCTGCACAGAATGTAATACTATATAAGTTGAACTATGGGTGTGATAGTTTTGGTTTATATTGGTTAAAAATACATTAAAATCGTGTTTAATTTAGAGCTATATATCAGGCAGACAGTTTATGATAGAGAAATTATAATTACATTTGGTGTCTTCGTTATCATTGGTATGATTATCTGAAGGTAAATTAAAAATATTTTACAATTCAATTTATACCACAATAAAATCCGCATTGACATGCTGAGACTTTTATATTAACCGAAGCATTGCAGGAAAAGAAAGCAGTTATTACTATTTACCATTCTTACAACAGTCAGCCAATTGACTTAATGTTTCGAATCCTGTTAAATTATTAGCTTGATTAAATATTTTCGTAAATGTAATGCACAGCTCGAACATATTATTAGACTTGACTATCTATTTCATTATTTATAAAAAAGTACGGGCGTACCTTCCTTCCCCTTTGATAAATCAGAATCATCTGCAATTTCTGTTACTTGTATTCCAAAGAGCGTCTTCGGCTCCTGAATTGGAATTATATCATAACCAAAATCTGACTCTTTATCACTACTGTCAGTATCGGAGTATGTACTTCTAACATTTCTTGTCTCAGGTACTAACAAAGTGTCGCAATAAAAACTGTGAGCACAAACGACCCGTAATAATACATAAATAAATTATATATATTCAATTCTATTGTTATTGCACTTACCATAGTTTATTTCCTTGAATATGGATGCCATGTCTGCAATATATGAGTAAATGAGTTAGAAATATGCGCTAAAGTTCATGTAATTTAGTACATTATATCTTTCAGTTTTGACATACCCTTATCCTTCCGGAGAAAAAGACGTTCCGCAAGATTTACAGATTTCATGAAATCCTCAGAATATTTACTTTTCTTTCCCGCAATCTACAAGTAATCGAGCATAGTTATTATAGATCAATCTATACTGTTTAATAAGAAAAATTGAGGATTGTTATCAGTCAATTAATTTTAAAATAGCTACCGAACATCAAGTCGTATACTGAGCTCCTTAAATCAGGGAATTGTACAATAAATTAAGCCCTAGTTCTTTAACTAACCTTGTATCGTTCGCATTCAGAAAAAAAGAAAGCCCAATTTTTCATTCTTGCAGTTATTAACCTAATAACGAATCCATCTTATTCTTTAGTAACGATCCAAAAGGTGGTACTAAATTAAGTTGGTAGCGGTATCATTATACGAAGAATATGTGCTGCTATGATGATAGAGGTGAATACTAACGTTTGATTGCTAATTAAAAACAGAATTTTCAATTTAGTAATCTTTTCAATCTTCTTAGTAGTCCTTTTAGTCTTCTTAGTAGGCTTATTAGTCTTGTTAGCTTTCTTATAGGTTTTGAGCACCTAGGAGGTATAGACAGCTAAGAATGATTGCTGAACATTAAGAGGAATACTTTACTCTGCTATTTCTTACTAGACAAGGCCAATGAGGATCCTTTTCGTATTTATACCAAATGATATCACCAGGTACTGGAGGTCGTTCTAAAATCAATGAATAAGGAATTACCTAAGAGTATGTATGCCAAAGCTTTTCCCTCTGCAGAGATTCTTTATAGTGATTCTAGCGTAATTATGTCACATACTTGATAATTGCTTTTGCGGAGTTAAACCTTCTTCCATAAGTAATGCATCATCGTCATCATCTTTATTAAAGTCGTAGTCAGAGGAATCGCAATCTAATTTTACATCGTCAATCTCAGATATGCTCCTAAGCAAAGCCAAGAAACATTAAGAAATATGCGTATTTAAGATGTAATCACTTAATAAAATCTATTTTGTATTTTGAACATTATCTGGTTTATGAGCGACATCGACCATCGCATTACAACAAGCTACCTCAAATACAGTGTTATAATTGAATTCATACAGAATAAGAGTATCTATGAATATTGACTTACCTAATCGCAGTTATACCGTCAAAATTATCAGACAATGCACTGTATTTACTACTATCAGCTTTTTGAGAGTCGATGACTATTTCTTTTGTATCGTATGTAGGATCAACATTCGACTGCCAATCTAATAATTTCCTTTTCTTAGCAATTTGTATCGTTGCATCTGGAATATCACCATCAGAGTCTAGTATAGAAATGGGATAATAAAGCCTTTGTATAAATTATAACACTCATCAGACCAAACAGGCAATGTCAATAACTAACCATCTTTTTTTAAGGAGTCAGCTAGCCTGTTACCATTGCTTGAGGACAGGCTATTATTGACAACTACGGATATTAAATTGCCGTATAGTTTTAAGCATAAAAATGTACCTGTATGTCAACTTAACTTCATTTTAACAACACTGTATCATTCGAAACTCTTTAATAATTTTAATCCACTCTTACCATTCAAATGCTCCGAAGTAATAGATTGGGGACACACTTCTGTTGAAGAACTGATATATTGCTTTATCTCTGCCATAGCTTTTCCAAATAATATCTTATTCCCTGATATAAAGATGACTTTAATTAAAATTTTCGACTGCAGTAGAAATTGAACAATTCGCAAATAGTATAAAACTGAATTTTTAACTGTAGTGTTATCATATCTGACTAAGACCATATTTGTAAATGATCAATGATCACTAAACTGCAGCAGTAAATATTCTATCTTAAGTTTAATAACGTCAAGGATCATACTGTGGCTTCTATTGGCTTTCCCATGATCGACCATTACATTATGTTCGGCACAATTCCATAAGCGAATAGACTTTGAACTTGTAATTTTAGCTCTTAAACGTAATAATTACCGTATGTTAATCTCGATGAAATATCAGCCATAATTATATCCCCAAATCTAGCAGACCAACTTACTCAGAATCATCCCCGAAACAGGAAACAATAATCTTCTTTTTACCGCCTTGATGCAAAACCTTGGTAACCTGTTCGTTGCGATATAGAAAGATAGGCGTACAACAGATTATAAACTTACAATCGAAATAATCGTTTAACATTCCAGTGGCCAGGTCCACTTCATAAGAGAACCATGATTTAGATATAATAGAAATTGACTACATAAAAAACTACATCTGTGCACTATAATAAAGCCTATCAAAACTTTATACTCGTTCACCTTTGCTGGCCACCAAGGATATTTATTTATTTTAACCCATACACAATCGGCAACGGAAGCTATAGTTAATAATTTTGAATTATTACAAACTGCGAATGGTATGATATCTGTTTATATAAAATAAATTTTACACATGATTTTACTGCAAATATGTACTGAATTTATACGTATATAGTACTATAAGTAAGACTTCATTTTCTTATTTATCATAAAGGCGTTCCGATACTATTGTAATATACTAGAAATATTACGTACTCTATATACGAATCAGAGCTACTATCGGGCCAGATGTGCACTAATTGTAAGTCATTTTTTGTGAAAATTTCAAAACTAAATACTTGAAAGTTGGTGCTACTAACCGAAGTTCACGATTGGTCAGAGCAATGTGTATATATAGTATCGATATTACGAAAATATGTGCGTGTTGTACAGATGTAATTCCTGAATGATTTGCATGTACAGTAGTATAATTCATTATTAATCGCTATGATATAGTAATTAATTACTAATTGATTACAATTATTACAACATTACACTATATACAGTATATAACCCGCACGATTATACGAGTATGTTAGTGTATTGCATATGCTCGTTATACCGTATTAGTTTGCAGTTGCATTTATCAAGATGCGATTTTGGGGTTGGCTTCGATTTTAGTCTAGTATACTGCCGGTGTTACAACGAACAGTTTGCTAAAAGACTTCTCGGTGCTGCATTAACAATGTTAACAAATCATCGATTTAGGTGTATTAATGTTAGCATTTCTATAAGATTTGGCGCATTTTCTTACTTGATGATATCCTAGGAAAATTACGCTATACCCAATAAAATGGTATGTCTTAAAGTGGATATTGAACAGGGCTGCCTAGTAAGTTACACTGTAGAGTTGATATTGTAATCCTGTAATTGAAGGCCTGAAACTACCTCTAAGCTGTAGCGAATTTACAGCTTTTTGGTCATCGAATAATAAATATCGTTCTACTGTATGTAATTGAAATTGAGATTGCATCTCTATAGTCTCATTGATGAGGTAATACAATGAATTGAAAGATTAACTTTCAACTGACGTGACTCTTTGCAGAAGTTAATTAGGTTTAAATTTTTGACAGAAGTGAAGTATATTAGGTTATTTTACAGTAGTATAAGTACATTACCTTCCATTAGCTGATTTAACTCTGCTTAAACCTTGTACTGTATCTATCCAAAATAATAGAGAATCCTTCCGATTCGTTTACCTAGTAGTCAATATTAAAGCTACAAAATACAAGTGAAGGCGATAAATCCAATAGGCATTTTTAGTTATGAGTTCATTACTGGAAAGCAATAAGCTATGACAGCAGTTCTGGAGTAAACAAGAAATAAACGGGCCTAGTACTATAAGTTTGTGCCTTTATTTGTTATGGTTGGCACTTGCTTGCTTAATTTAACAAGCATTTCAAGGTCAACGACTAGTAGTTCGTGGAGCAGTTCATGGCGGTTATGCTGCATAATTTGAAATCACTTTATCAAAATTTTGCGCTACCAGAGCATCAATAATACTATGTACTTAAGATATATATATTGGCAGAGAATGCCTGCTGAATCTGTTATTGAAGTAAAGCATGTCAATTTATCATAACACAGTATCTACGATTTCTGACGGCATATCGAGAACCAACTCGACAAGATCAACACATTCCAGGTTAGTTACTAGTCAACGGGTAAGGTTTAACATGAAAATCGAGATCATTTTATTATATTCTACCACAATGTCATAAACTGCTCGTGTACAATGTTTTTTGTAAAATAAAATTTACAAGCTCTCTATAAAAATGCTAGTCGTAAAAGTATGAATAATCGCCCAATTAATGAAGCTCTAACTTATTGCAATGTGCAATGACGATAGGTTAGCTACTTGCTGTGATAGCTAAAGTAGTGTTTGATTTCTTGTTCAATATCTTATGTAATAGCATGAAAGAGGAAGAGATTTGTGGTCACAGTAAATACTCGTATGACTGACCTAAGGAGGTTAATATGGCAGTAATTCGATTCACTTTCAGTTCGACTGCTTGTAGTTACCGATTTACCAAGGGCGTTGAAGTAGACCTGAGTGAAGCAGATCTTATTTTTTCCTGCAGTATACCGTGGCGCAAGGATTTATGCGCGTTTAAGGTACTGTACTGAGGTACTTACGTAATCACTCCAGCTTTATTCCTACAGTACACTACGGTTACGGTTATACAGTTACTACCAGTTATAACCGAAACTCCTGATTTTTCCGTTACAGCGTTTGATTCGATTTTTTCCTTTAGTTTATACAGCAATCTATAGAAATTAATAGATTGCCCGACACTCCGGGCAATGTACAGTATGTCAGTACAGTAATAGAAAACCCTTTTTTACAATCTGGGCAATGTACATACTGTACAGTACTGTACATGTGTGTACAGTACTCTGTATTGTACTGTACAGTACTGTAGTGCTGTACTGTACAGTACAGTACTGTACAGTATTGCACTGAAAGGCTATGCACTGTACTGTACTGTAAGTGACACAGTCATACCGTGCAGTACTGTACAGTACAGTAAAGTACAGTACTGTACAGTATTGTCTTATTTTATGTACTGTACACTGTACAAGTGTACAGTACAGACTGTACAGTGCATAGCCTTTCAGTGCAATACTGTACCACTGTACTGTACTGTCTGTACAGTACAGCACTACTGTACAGTACAATACAGAGTACTGTATAGTACAAAGAAATGTACGGTACAGTACAGTACATTGCCCAGATTATAAAAAAGGGTTTTCTATTACTGTACAGTGTACTGTACATTGCCCGGAGTATCGGGCAATCTATTAATTTCTATAGATTGCCCGGGCTTTCTATAGAATGCCCGAATCCTTCCTTACATGGACCGTGACACCGTACTGAGTGTACTGTACTGTACAATAGTTCAAGGTGTTGACTGTACACAGTGTACAGTCTGGTAAGGAAGTGCTAGTACTATACTGCCACTAAGTGTACAGTGCACTGAACACCACTGTACTGTCTGATTGATTTGTGATCATTTTTGCTGTGTTTCATTCTGGCATTGATTGCTACATCATTCTCCATTTTGGTTATATTTAAATGAAAGACATGAAGATATGACGGCCGAATTATTTGTTAGTAGTTTGCAATTACATGAGGATCTTCATCTTAAAATTAATTTAAAGGACAAGGTAGAGAATCTTAAAATTAAAATTTCTCGCCACTGGGATATCTCTATTGACTATCAGAGTGAGTTACTATTTCATTAAACGTCTAAACACTGTGTGCTGTACTGTACAGTACAATATTAAAGTAGTTTCGTTAAAGTACAGTTCTCACTTCCTACCTGATTGAATGACATCAAATTAATTTTAAATGCTACTGCTAACTGTTTTTAGTTCTCATTTCCAATACTCTGTATTTCTACTGTATCGTCTGTACATATGCGTAGCTCGGTAGTGTAGTTGCAGCAAATTTAGATCAAGTTAACTTATTGTAATAATGACATTGCATTTGACGTATCGGACTAAGATTTAGCTTAGTTTATAAAGGTCATCTCTTGACCGATAGCGTAGCTGCAGTAAATTTATGTGAACTTGAAGACATTGTAATAGTGATATTACATTTCATGTATTGGACTTAGATTTAGTTTATAAGGGTCAGCTCTTGACTGATGGTAACTCATTGGAATCATACAATATACGCGAGAAAAGTACCGTCTACCTTTTACCCAAGAAGCAGATTGTAACGACGGAAGAAACTACAGGTAAAGCTATAGTTGTACACTACTGTATTCATATTATTAACTGTAAATAATGTAATCATTACTTGTTTAAATGATCCAATGATACAGTAGTTCATCTTTTTGCAATCACCCATTAGGCATTAACTTAAAAGCAGATTCTAGCTAATATATTGTATTTTCATGATGATCCATTTGACCATTCTCTAACTTTCAGTAATACATACGGTACTGTACTGTATTATTGTGATATACTGACAAACTGTACTTTAGCCATTTCTGGGTCTTGCATGTTTCAAAGTTGTTACGTTGTTGGTATATTTGCTAAATATGTAACTGTAGTTTTTAAGTAGGTTAGCATATTTGAAATGCACCAATACCTCACACAAAGTTATAAAATGCATTGTATGTGGTCTTCATAGTAGGACCACGTATTTAATCGTTCGAGCATAATTATTCGTTACGAACTTGATGTAAGGAGTAAATTATACACATACCCAAACGTATGAAAAACTACTATTATAGTTTTACTTCTATCCTTTCTTTTGACCCTCTTCTCTTATTTCTTACAATTTGCTTAAATTGTCTAACTCTTTCAATTGTAGTTAATGTAAATGAATTGATTTCGAAGCTAAGGAGAGCTATGCTCAACCCGAAGGTCTTAGAAAAAGTAGGTATACTTGTACTCTGTATCTTTATTGAATGTTCTTTCTTTCGTATGTTGTAACTCATTAAGAAATAACCTGCTTCTATTGGTGTTTCAAAAAGCTTAAATGCACTAAATTCAAAATTAGTCAGTGCTAGAGATCACTACATTTAACGCAGCTAATTTATGTAGGGTGATACATTGATGCTTGTCAAGCTTATGCGAATGTAATGCATAGGCATCTTATGCGGCAAAAGCTTGACCGTGACACTCCGACATCCTAAAATGTGCGGTTACCACAGTTTGTAATTTTTAGGAGTTAAGTTTAGCTATCGCAGTAATTTATACCACAATACGTGTGCTTCATATTGTATTTTCATTTTACTTTACTTACTTTCAATCATTGCCAACTTGGCATTTTAATCAATTACTAATGTATAGTTACATATTTTTCCTGACAGTCCAGTTTAATATATATTGCGATGTTATATAAGGGATGATAGATACTAGTTACTTACTATTAATTATCGTAAATATTGTATTGGCTTTTGTCTTGAATATTTATGCAGTGTATGCAACTGTTATACAAGTATTTCATTATAACGCGTGTTGCTATCTTATACGATACATTAGGCGTAAATGAAAAGATTTTCTATCTGGCCTATATTATGTTACAAAATCAATGCTACTTGTACTTATGCAATAGCCACACTTAAGAAGCCAATACAGTACAGTTGCAATTGTTAACTACAACTTGAAATACATTACATCCTACCTAATGGTTGTAGTTGCAAATCAATTAGCAACATCTTCAGTTGAAATGGACGTAAAATAACTATGACAGGAATGATGATATATATTAGTGTAGCTAATGCTCATAAACTCATTGCAGGGTTGTTTACTATCGTATTACCATCAATTCTACATTAAATTGTATACATTTTTCGCATTTTAGATCAGTACCGCTTTCGATAAGCCCGAAGTCATTCAACAAGTACATTCAGCCATTCCGGGTCTACGAGAAAACACCATTGCTTTTAGTAAGATACGGCAACGGAGACATTATATCAAACAGACGTATTTCTTTATAATGTAATCTAAAACATTAATATTATTGATCTGTAATCATATCATCTACAATTACTAGATATACTTGTAGATAAAGACCTTATGCGAATGTTAATGGATCCTTCTAATCTAGAAAGGTACAGAGCAGTTTTAATCTTATACGCTCACTTGTTTACTATCCAGTTTAAGATACTGTATTGCTGTACCCGATATAAGCTTTTAACTAAGTAATTATTGTACGATTATTACGGACTCTTGAGCCCGGAACTTATGACCTAATTTCATACTGTTTCCTTTAATTAATGTTGCCTTCGGGGATATAAGCTGGTCCCTTTTTCAAATCTGTTATTTCATTATTCTAGTGTGATTAAAGCTCATCCAGTTCTTGGTCAAGCGGTATTATATGTTATGAAAGCTACCGGAATAAATGTAAGAGAAATACCTCTACGAGACGGCGCATCACTTCGCCGTCAAGTCCATAGCAACGGAGGAAATTCGGATGATTCTAACGATGATACCTACGAATTGTCTAATCCTGAGCAATTTCCCATAGTAAGTGTGACCAAAACTTATAAAATTACTGTCACAGACAACGGTATGACAGCGGTTATTCTACTTGTGATAGGGTGATGTATACGATACTTTCCGTCCATATGGATCTGGTGCGACCATAGGTGCGACACAAACCTCAGAATCAGCAGCAGGCACATCGCAAACACAGCTTGTTACTCGACAGCATTTGGAGGCAGCCCTAGCAAGTGCATTTACATCATCTTCTACGCAAAATGATAGTGCGGAATCATTGCAATCACAACGACATGAGACAAGAGATTCACCTACTACTTCTAGTGTTGACCAAGAGCCCAATAGGATAACGTCTGATTTATTAAGCCAAGCCCTTGATAACGCTTTAGGCAGTGATAGAAGGAATAATACTATATTGCAGGTAATACTACTTTGCCTAGCTTGGTAATATTGATAGATGAAAATTATAGTTCGTGAAACTTTACTTTAGACGGATATAGCTTGTTTTGCTGTTACATTTTTTAAAGCATAAACGACTTTTGTTGAAGAGATTAGTAACGAAGATCATGATCAATAACTGCCATAGATCTACGGATAGCTAGATTTTACTCTCTTGTAACAATATAGTGTGTATTTAAAGTTATAATTTACAGCTGTATTTCATTTTTAATGATTCATGCCTACTTTTATCTATAGTTTATTTGTACAGGCTCTGATATATATTATCATAGAAAATCTTGCATATACGTCAATAGAACTGCATTTTAGTGTCATATTTCTCTATAGAATAATCGTAATAGCTTCGATATAGTATTTCTGTTCATTAATTTGGTGCTTCTATAACGTTTTAGGAACGTTCACAAGAAAGACAGAAACAGGTATATAAAAACATCTACTAAATAAGCTATAGCTAAAAATATAGCGTATTAATTACGGTATAACTAATCATTATAGATTCAAATTTTACGTGAAATGGGTATTCAGGATGATGCCTTAAGTCTGCGTGCTCTAGAATTAACGAATGGAGATATTAATAGAGCAGTTAACTTGATTCTAAATGGTGATATCTAATTTATGGACAGTCCTTGCAGCATGTGTACGGAGATACATTTAATTGCCAGTGAACTCTATAAATTATACGAAACTTTAAAGCTGGGGATCATTCGTTATTCCTTATTACACCAGTGCATCTAATCGATTATAGATATCTGCTTTAAGCTTAGTTGCTAAATTGTACGGTTTATTAGTATATGTTATGACTTAGTATCACAGTTGTAAAATGTATTATTATTAATTTAAATCTGGATTAAAATACGACTTGTCAAAAATTCGACATGCTCCAAGCTGATATAATACAATCATGTAGTTCCATTGATATATTTTACATTGGTAACAACTAAGGAATTGATTTATGAATTACTATAATAATTATAATTACAATTATTTGTGTTAAATTGTTTACGTTTACTGTATAATAAATCTAATTAATGATATTAATTTTACTTTAATCTGAGAAAGTAATTTTTTTGTCTTGCAGTCTTTGCCTCTCCAATTCCGAATGGTATTAGTAGTAATGTAAAATCATTATATCACCCTGTGCACCACATAGATATGATATATAGTACAACTGCATCGAATTGTAAATTTTTATATGATTAATTAATTAATTGATATTAATTAGAGATACCGTACGCAGTAATATATTCATCGTTACAGTTTAATCTCAATTTGAATTCGTAATTTTTGAACTAATAGTAAGTAATTGTCAATATGGTAGTATCTGTTTTCATCTCATCATGGCTGCCTTGATTTTAATCTAATCATTTAATGCTTAATTTAGAGCTTTGTAGACGCTGGATTTGGATACATTGTTTGAATTAAAATTTTACTTTCAACATGTATTAAGCCTACTATATAGTCCTTGTGGATTTTAAATTATTATTATATAGTGCTGTACTACATGTAGTATGGGAAGGATTTCCAGTGATCGCAATTTTTGTTTAGTAATCTCACAATTCTGAAATTTACCATGTTTTTTTGTTATCTAATTTGTACTATACAACTTTGCCTATAATCCCAACCCTAAACAGCAGGTTATCAATAATGTCTATGCCATCAGTGTATGTTCTATCCGGACTATAGAATTACTACCGTAGTTTGGGTAGCATTATAACGTACTGTATGGGACAAAAGATTGTAAGTGCACAGTACTGAATGTTGTGTGCATACGTGCAATATTGTACTAACAGTAAATTGACTACATTACATGTTACATACGCTTGCATACCGCTGAGTTCGACTTCGGACGCCAATGCCGTTCCCTGCATGTAGTAATGTAACAGTACGAGCACCTTCTGATTTGTTTCGTTGTTGCATCTATAAAACAAAACTTTATGAAACTTATGAAACTTACAGTTAATTTATTTCGGAACTTATTCACAACAATAGGTACCAAGAAGTAATACGCGCAAGTAGAAACAATATGAAGTAGAAGTTCATGGTGTAGCTTTAGTAGCTTTAGTATCATAGAATACAGTCAGTAAGCTGTCATAGTCATAACCTACATTAATATACTGTATAGTATACTAGGAACGTGACGTATACTGCACAGTATATACTGTATAGATTTTATTTTTTATTTATTTTATGTACTGTACAGTACAGTATATGAGTCAGTACAGGACGGCATAATTAAATGATTGATTGATGATAAGTAAAGGTCATGATAAAACTCGTGCTGGTCTCCTTCGACTCTGTACTTATTGTAAAAAAATGATTTATTTTATACAGCACAGTACAGTGTACAGTACAGTACACTGTACAGTGGGCGTTCAGAATTGATACAACAAACAATGTACTGTACTTGATTGACAAAGGATCCGACAGTATCCCATTAACCTTTACGGGGCTGACGCCTGCTGTGGCTGGGTCCTTTTACTGCAGGGCAGGCTGTTGTTGTTCTGTTTTTACCAAGTCATTGACATCGCTGTTTTTGTTCCATTTTATTTTATTTTATTTTATTATTATTAGAACATGTTTCATAGTATCTAAAGTATTGTATTTGTTACAGAGTGCGTTGCATACTTTAATTTGACTTAAAATAGCCAGATATGGCTATACTGCCAGGGATTTGTAAGAATTTCCTTAGAAGTCTGTGATAGAGTAAGTACTGTAGCCTCACAGGCATTTGAAAATTCTAGCCATGAAGATCGTTTTCCTAGTTATCTTTTGTTTGAGTGGGGATTTGGGCATCAGGCCAATGAGCAAACGTTTCTTCTCGTCCTGTAACATTGGTCAAGATAACAACAATAATACAGTAATCCCCTTGGTTCTGGTTCTAATAATAACTGTACCACACCGCTTCCTATTATACTGTATTATACTGTACTGTACAGTATTATAATATGATATGATATAATATAACACTGTATGTTTTAAAGTAACTATTTGTTACTTTGCACTACGGAGTCTGTACTTGTACAGTACACTGAATGTACAATGTACTGTACATTGTACGTACAGTACATACTGTAGGAGTAAGATTTTTAATATTTTTTCTCTTTGCTGTGCTAGTACAGTAATTCATTAGAGACCCTCTACAGTACTGTATAGCTACATTTGTACAGTACTGTACACTGTACAGTACAAATGTAGCTATACTGTACAGTACTGTACAGTACATCGAAGTAGCGATACAGACTGCCAATGTACTGTACAGTACAGTACTGTACAGTACAGTACTGTACAGTACGTACTGCATGTGTTAACATGTACTGTACACTGTACAGCTTGTCCACCTACTGTATTATTTTTTCTTTTTTGAACGGCAGAAAATAAAGAGAAATTTACAGGATGTAGTGTCCGTGTATTTTTATTGTACGCATACTCTACTTAGTGACCATACATGCAGTATATGCATGCTTGATTGGTGTTGAAGAGTGAATTTTTTTAATAAGACCACCGACCAAAAAATTAGTTGACCATTACGAATCAGCAGTTCAACGTAGCGAATGCCATACAACAACGCATTATAATGGCCAGAGAGCTAGGCTCTCCCTTCTTTATTACATTTTTGATTACTAATACTTTCTTACTTCCTCTACTTTCATTACACTTAGGTAAGTAAGTATTGAATGTAACGACGATTTTCACTCAACCGCGATGTCATTAATTAAGCGCTTTTGTCGCGTATGCAAATATATTAGTAATATTACTATAACGCCGTAGTTCTAGCATAAGAAACTTGATCCTACTCTCACTATCATTTCTCAATTCTCCTATGTTCTCCCATGTCCGGGATATAGTTATTCAATACTTATAATATTAGTATCGCTATAATGATTGGAAAAATATATATTATTTTACACCACAGTTTGTAAATTTGATTGATTGGCGTACAGATACTGTATTTCGAGACGCAAGACAGGGTTGAATTAAAATTTGTTTTTCCGTCATGACCACTCAATGAATAACTTGTATCAATAAAATGGTTACCAGAAGTTAATTTTTTTATTTTATTTATTACGCAGTCACAAATTTTTCTTGTAGTAGCTGTTACTCAGAAGTTACGTACTATATTCATAGCTTTTAATTGACATTTCGATATTTTATAGTATATAAAAAAGTCGCAACGCATTGTATAATACTATACATGGCACACAGTAGACAGCCGTAAACTCTTCTGTAACATGATCGGATGATGGAGTTTTATGTGGATTACAATATTATACATTATATCATTAATATAGTAATCTTTTAGCTCTATACATTTGAAAAGTCATAATCCGAATTATTATTCGAGAATTATTGATAATCACATATAACGCACTGTTTCTTACTGTCCCAGAAAAAATTTCAGTTTTATCTCCTTTGTTTTCTTACTTAGTACACAATCATTGTACTTTTTTATTCTTTACAATTTTATATTGACGCATTTGATTTAATCTGTAGGTTGGGCGGTTGGTGATTCGAATAGTGATTGTAAATGTCCATCGAAGTACGAGTATAATTGTACGCGGCTTTATAATCAGGTTCAGGATGAGAACAAACCAGAAAATGGAAAGGCATCTGCTAAAATGTGCGCATTTGTGCATTGCTTACACAATGCCTATACAGATGGTTGCCAATGTAACTTGCATTTGAAGCAGTTTTATGCCACATATCAAAAGTTTCAACCCCAGTGTCATAATAATTCTTCAGCGACACCAACGTTTTTGCCTACTCAGCCTAATAGAGTAACTACAAGCGTAGATTATAAGTGCCGTCCCTCTTATGATGATGCGTTGCAATACAAAACATGTTCGATATTTGGCAGTTGGCACTTGCGAACATTTGATGGTGGACTACAAAGTTGCACCTCTTCTATCTCACGAAGCCAAAGTGGATCATGGCCTGTAGTTAAAAACAAGCACTTCATGGTGCAGGGCAGTTTCCATACTGCTAACCAATATACTACAGCACTGCGAATGAATAAGGTATGATAATATTAACAGGGATGCTTTTTTTTGTAATAACATCAGATATAAATATTTCTATTACGCTTCCGTAAGTAGTTACGAAATTGCTCCCATCGTCGATGCTGTGTTAGAGCAATGGTCATCAATTTTTGCGTTACATTCACTGCTTTTATTGAAAACGATAAATTTCTGGATTAACTAATGTGTTGTACATTCGTTTCGTTCATTTTTGGTTCTCTTTATAATAATTTAAATGAAAGTTATCTACATGAAACTTACATTCGCGGTACCATTTTACTGTAATTCATTATTAATACCCCAGTAATTCCCTAATCATCCAATGGTATATACTGTACTGTAGTATGTGACGATACAGTGTTCAATACCTAGATGATTTGTTGGGAACCCAAGAAGTTCTGAAATTTATTATCGTGCTAACCCTCTACTGTGAAGACATTAAGCTAAACCAGGTTTTAGCTAGTAATCACAATTTACGGTGTATCAAATTATCAATACCAGTGATGGACAACTACAGTAATGCCAGACCGTTGAATAGACTGGCTAGGCAGCAACAGGCTGTGAGTTGCTCTGCCATTAGCAGGATTAAATAGTCAGAAATAGCAGATACTTGATTTTTTATTGCATGCCTCTGCTGTATTACATGTTAATCATTATAAAACTGTTGAGATTTAGGAATACTTAAAATTGGTGACGGCAATGTGTTTTATTAAATTCCATGCCTTTATGCGATTTTAAATTTACAACTAATCCAGTAAAATAACATCAATAACCTGACTAAACAACTTATCAAATTTTGATGTCACTAATACAGTATTGTACTGTAGACAATTACAGAAAAGGATTAGGAGTGTAACATGTATTCGTAGTAGTTTCTCTTCCTTTCATTTCCTTAATTAACTGTAGCAGCGAAACCTCTAAATTTCCACTTTTACACAGATTCAGACAATTATGCGTCTTTGAGATTGTTGGAGTTGGTAATATCCCTGCGGTACCCTTTTGACAACTACTTCGATCTTGTCATCATGCGCAATTATTAACTTCTAAAGTAAACACGCATATTGACATATAGTATTGACTCTTGGGAGTACTGTAATAATGGTACCATAATACACACTACTTCAATGTCCTTTTTACTGTACTTGATATTGTATATAGATGCACCAAGCGCTACTCGACTGTCCACCAATACTACAGTACTGTTTTATGGAGAACAAAATTTGCTTTACTTGGAGCGAGTACAGAACTATTTGAATGAGTACAGTATTTAGGTGCTTAAAATTGTTTCTGGTGTAACTACTATTTTCTATGTACTGTATGATACTCGTAGTCTGTATATCATTGCTAATAATTTGCTTTTCATATTTATTAGTGACTATCAGATTCTGCGCTTTTAAAAATATTTTTATCAAACATGTGCGGTATGTCCAGTATTGTCATTCACAGACATCCTACAGGGACTTCTAAGGGAATATTCCTTTTTTGTACAAGTCCCTGCAACTGTGCAATACAGTACATTACCTGTAGCATTAGAAGAGCGAAAAATGGACTATTGTTGCGTGAGTCAGCAGATGCGCCACCCACTGACTAAGGTGCTGTTGCGTATGGTAGAATGCAGTTGCATAATTAATTGTATTGTACTGTACTCTTGTAGAATTTTTTGATGCTTTGCAAACTACCCTACCGTAGTGTTTACCTACATACTACAGCCTACGGCAACAGTGAAAAATTCAATGCTGTTTTGTGTGTTGACACAGTACTGTTCTTGCAAAAGCATGGCGGTAACAGCCTAGTAGATGATGTTACTAATGATCGTTACTATATACACCAAAAATGTACAGTGTTTGACCTAGCTCAAATTAGAAATCCATCATGGACTACAATACCAAAACTTAATCTTATGAACGTCTAGCGAAAGCCAGAAGATCGAAGGATGACCCGAATTTTGACCGAATAGGCAATATTTAATTTCGTAGTTTGATTTATAATCTTCGCTAGAAAAGCGGAGAAATTTTAACGCTAAGAGATAATCTGTACGTACGATCATGGGCGTTCCCTTAATTTCACTCCCCAAGTATTTGATATTTTAATGATTTCTGAAGTGCTCAAGAGTCGTTGATTAATAATACGATTGAGCGGAGAAAAGATTAATCTTCACTCGAAAACTGAGGGTATACAAAATAGGGACTAACTAAGTACTTTAATCATGTAAAGTATAAATCAACAAAATCGCTGTTATCATCAGTTTCTTGAATTGCAATGCAAATTTCACTAATATTTCGTAGATCGTGATCCTAAATCCATATGAAATATTCGTACAGTATCATGAGATTTATGCACCGCAAAGTAGCGGAAATTTTATAAAGTCAACGCTTCGCAGTTGAAACGTAATAAATCAGATGTTTTGCACATGCTGAATGAATTTGACAATGAGAAATAACCTTTTGGTTTGTACAAAAAGCGGTAACACTAAAAATTGACTGTATTTCAATAAGTAATAACTAATTCATTATCAGGTTACGACGATCCTACTACCTTTGTTAGCTAGGTACTATGGTTTTGTTGTAGTCTTTGCCCCCAGCTTTTCGTACTGTGATCATGTGAACAAATTAATTAAGGCTTTTATTTGATGGTAGCTAGGGTTTCAGTAACGTCATTTTATAGTTACTACAGTTTGTATAGTTATAATATTCAACTTAGTGGTACCACAGCATCTTAGTTACAATAATCATAAGAACGTGAACGTTTAGCAGCAATCCTAGATTTAACACTGGCTGATCGGCTTTCTTGTTGAATTTAAAAATTGCAAATACGCGTAGACCGTTATTGCTAAATCGAAAGTTCCTCAAGGGCAATAAAATGTTGCTACTATGACAACATTACATTACTAACAACTCTTACGATAAATAACTAATATGTCGTTCATCATAAGTTACGGACTCTCAATGTAGTAACCTCTAAGCTATCGCCAAAATTTACTGTACTCTACAAATGAATCATTTGATCTTATGGGGATTTATGACTGCCACAGTCTCTAGTCCGGACCAGTCCGCCATGGACTGTGAACGGAGCTACTACCAATCTCTTATTAAACATAATCATAATGCCCAAACTATTCACTCTATTCACCCTACAATTTGAGTGGATTAAATATCTTCACTTTTTCTTGTATTTCTGAACTGTAACTTCTTTTTCTTCTATTTAAATTTTGAACTTCATCCCCAGTTTTATATTGTCTAGGGATACTAAAAAGTATAATAATTTGTCGCTATTTCATAAAGATCCGTCCCTATAAACGCTCGTTATTTCCAGTTTGTATTGACACAACTAATTATATTTAAAAAGTTATGTAAACAAAAAGTTGACTATTACAATGCCGAAGCTAATGTTAACTTTTAATATTTATGGATTAAAATTAACATCACCCTTCTTTATTTCTCCTGTTTTTGGTTGCTCTATCAATAACTCGTGAAAAGTTTTTTATATGTTAATTTCAGCTAATCATAAAGATACCGTATACAGATTCTCTGATTGAATAACTTCACCTTGCTCTTATAGGTATCTGTAGTTATTAAGGAAGAAGACTGTACCAGTCCCAGAATTTATAAAGCGTCGATTGATAATATTCCAAGCGTATTTACTAATGGCAGTCCGAAAGGTAAAGGAATACGCGTGGAAGTCCTAAAAGAGAAAGTTAAGATGAAAATAGTAATTGAACGAATCAATACTAGCATCATTGTTCATCAAACCGGGCCTTTTTTAGCAATTATAATTACGGTTCCTTCTTCTATCGAATATACACTGACTGATAACGATAATTTACCTGTAATCTGTGAACGTGGTTGCCCGAAAGTATACGGAAATGATTTCGACGAACCTACAAAAGATTGGTCGTCAATGTATGGTGGCAGTGCTTACAACAATTGTTCTTTATCAAATTTTACAAATTATTATTTATATACTTGTACGGTAGATTTAATTACTTCCGATAATATTACAGCGCTAATGTGGACTACAAGCGCTATGGAAGATTTCTATGAGAGCAATGGTGGACCAACCCAAAATGAAACGATCGCCCAATTTTTTACCACCCCCGCAACTGATAATGTCGCGTTAAAGTTATCAAAGTCGTCATTAGTAGTCTTCATAAGTTGCGTGTTATGCATGTTATTAATCATGTAGTGTCTCTAATTCTCTTTTGCTATCAAGTGAACTAGTGGAGAAAAGAACACATTGATTGTTACCTGATATTATACTAATTTTATAACAAAACTGAAAGAAATTGGCGATGATGACCCCAGTATTTATTTTTTAATGTTAGAATGATTATCGTTACTGTCGATAGAAGTTTGATTATTACCAGTTTGACAAATATTAGCAGAATTTGATTACCATCTCAATGTAAAGGTATTACTCACAATGTAGTTTGCCAACTATATCATATTCAATGATGTAAAAATACTACTCATAGTGTATATACACAGGCTGGCATGTATTATACGTATACTTATTATTGACCTAACAAATCAGAATAGCTTATAAAGATTTCTGCCTTTTAATTTATTGTACTATGTCTATATAGACGGTCTTACATAAGGGTTTTTGTGAACATGTCTGAACGGTGATTGTGATACCGATCGATACCGTTTAACGTTTATTGTTTGATATCAAAATAAGCGTTGCTGAATTACTATGCTTTGGCATTGTACATTAACACTATGTTATTCAGTCTCATTATGAACGAGAAATACTATGTATTTCTCAAACGACCATCAGATTGTAGAGGTACGTTACTGAAAACATTACAGTACAGAGAAGCATACTTGTAAGTTATATTTTAACGATTCCACTGTACAGTTATTCAAATTAACTCTAATACACCAAATTGATTTTTAGCTTTAATTAATGATATTATTTCTTATTGTATATTATCGTTGCTGCTTATGAGCTATCAGCAAGCCAAGCAGCTACCTTCTTATTTAAATTATATTATCAATTATTGCCATTCTGTTTCTATGGAATACCGTGACAAACAGCAATAACGTTTCTGGTTAATGAACACAACAAATTTTTTGTTATCCAATTTTCAGTATTTTTGTAATCGACGTTAGCAGTGCTATAATATAATCGTTTAAAATGTCTTAACTAACGTTTTTGTTTATTGATTTATAACATTCAATACGGAACGTATGTTCTGTAATGTTTGTGTTGTGTTGTATCAACTAAATACTTTGATGTTCCAATCAGTTCATCGATTATAATATCGTTCAAAAATTTTTTATCAAATCATAACTGCTGTCAATTATCCCGGATTTACATAATACTTCAAGGGAATGAATAATCTACTATGCTCGTATATCCGGATAAGCTTTTGCTTTCTTAAAGATGCAAGATATGGCATGGCTTTTCTAAACGATAACTTTTGGAACGAACCATCATTTTACAAAATTGCTCCAATAAGAATGTGCTTATTAATATTTATGTTCTACTTACCTTTCTATATCTAATTCATTATATGTTGGATATAAAATTAATAAGGTTAAGATTTTACAGTAAAATACTGTGAACTATATAAACTCTGAGTTATTTATATTAGATTTAACCTATCACTAATTTGCTAATAATATGCATGTGTCGTGACAACAAATTTCTCTTGCCGTCATTTAGTAGTACAATAGGGAAGTAGAAAAGATGGCTATAGGAAGCTTCATATGTCTCTACTTCATGCAGCATTTGTTCAAACACAGCGTTTCTGTTTATGCTGCACTACGTAAATTATGTTTACAGTAATTAATGCCCGTCACTTTAAATTTTGTATGGTTAATATGAAATCATGCCCAACGTGCATACGAGTACAATTAAAGTGACTTAATGATACAGACAGAGTAGACTACCATATTTGTAATGCATCATTTTAGACATGTTACGGGAAATATGTAATACTGTACTATTATATAATTATTGGCAACAGAACTACGAGTTGTACGCGAAAGTTATTGGTACATACTATTGCAGTAATTACATAAATGAATTTCCAATACGACCATCTTTAATTAACTAAATTAAAATAACCTGCTACACGTTTTCTCTAACATAGCAGCAGTAGCTCACGTTAGCACTTTGCGCGGCGATACTGATGAATTATTACACTTGCTGAATTGTAAATTTGTAAGTCTAATTCATCTTTAATGTCACAATGAACACGCGCATTAATTCACACGACTGCGTTATAATTCACTTTGGGCTAGCGTGTATCAAGAAGCACTAGATGCTTTACTTAGATATTTTTTATTGATACAATATCTACATGTGGTGATCCATACGTATGTTAAAACACGATAACTCTTGACAATCACCTCAAATATACGATATGGCAATGGTATATTGGAGGAGGGTGTCCTTGCGACTTTGATTGATATCCTCCACATATATTCGCTGCAGTATATAGTGTATATGCGTGATAGTACAATACTACAGTATAATGCTCAATGGTAAGCAGAAGTAAGCGCTTAGCTACAGACGCACAATGAGCTACCATATGTGCAAATGTGATAAAGAAGGTGCACATCCATTAAAATACTATAATAGATCGCTCCGATCTCAGAATTTTTTTGCAGTGTACTCATGTATCAGCCTGCCTCGTTCTGTTTGGTAACAGTTATCGTATATATTTATGTCTACAGTTGACGGATTGTAAATAAAATTGGTTATAAAATAATTCAAGAAATTTCAATCTATTTAACTAGTAGCAAGTAAAACTCCCACTGACTATAAGAGTCGAGATTCATTGAATCATTAATAATAAGAAGAATCACAAAATGTCTATCCAAGCAAGTCTGCAGTAAAGTGAGAGTGGCATAGCTAATCGTTCCACGTATAAATGCATACAACGCTATATTTTTTTCTGCTTAGTTATTCAATAATGTTATCTATAGATGTAAATTACTGTGAGCAATCGAATACAGTTCAGACTAAATTCGAAAATTACAAGTACATTTCGGTATTATTAAATCAACACAAATCTAATAAATGATTTACTCGGCAAGAATATAAATTACCATGCTGGATTATTAAGTCTGCATTCCTCCAAGTCATTAGATGAATAATGAATAATAAAACAATACAATATAAAATTCAATCGCTTCTTTCATCATATTGTCAATTGAAATTAATCAATAAATAAGCTGCGATAACTAATAAGCGGTACAGCAGTAATAATAAAACTGCACATCCATATACAATAATCAGTCTGGTGAATAATTCTGTAACTAATTAGTCTAATTTACAAATAGTCTAGTCCTTGTAATAAACAAATAGCCCTTTCTATGTTGCTTCTCGTGCTGAACTTTGAATTGTTCGGATACACTTAAAATTCAATACGCGGTAATTATCATCCAAAAAGTTAGCAAATATGGAGTAGAGCTAAAAATTCTTTTAATATATTGGATCGTTAAAATAAATATATAATTTTCAGCGATTTGCCGTCTATATTAATGCAGCTTGTTAATGAAGAAAGCAATATCATAGATAGCGCTGCTAATTACATAAAATATCTACAGGTTCTCTGTAAGCTTTTAATAAGCAATCATACCTTTCAGTCGTTCACCATGGGCGACAGAGGACCATTCAAAATGGATTAATTATCATTTATTAGAATCATAACGTACACTGTACTATCTCTTGTGAACAATGAGACAGCAATGTACTACATCGCCATTAGTAATTAAAAGATTAGATGTCTCTGCTCACGTGCTGATCGAATACATGCTAGTCAATTATGCTACCTCCAAATTATAAACTTTGTAGACGTAAACAAAGGTCATATGATCATGTGTAGTTAATAGAACACGTTCATATAAATTTAACTTAATCTTATTTGAAGTAGAGCAATTCATTTATTAAGGTGATGCAAGAAATCCAATATTAAATCGTCAGACGATTAAATTCGAAATAAAATGAACATGTAAAAGTAATACAAGAGCATAGCCGATCAAGTACGAGTATATGCGGTTTAGATGGTAAAACTTGTTGCCTCAACTGAGAGCAAAATATATCACGTAAAGTAATATAACAGACTAAAATAATAATTACTGTTAATGGTGAAATGAATTTATAACGTTTATATTTAAAAATGATGGAACACTGTACTTGATAATTAAGATGCAGTATTCACTTGTATGAATTTATTTTGATAAAGATCCATTCTAATTTAACCCCACCTCCTTTAATATTGAAAGTTCCAAAATGTTATCGGTAATCTTAACTAAATATGTTCTACATTAAAAACGGCTACCTTACTCTTAATACCGTACATCGTCTTAAGTATGCTAAACAATGTTGCCATAATTATTTTTTGAAAGCATTCTTGTAAGCATTTAAAAAATAGACAAATTCTACCTTATTTAATTCAATTTTTTCAAGGGTCATTAAGTAATCGAAAATATTTAAACATGACTAATAAATATAATTTATGGTATTAATGATGACCTTTATTTACGCATATGCAAATTATTTAATATTAGCTGAAACCCGCTCGTAATATATCGCGTAAGTTAATCTACTGTTATGTAAGCAATCGTCCAGTGCAATGTAGCGTTATAGTTGCATAGGCATGTCAACTCATGATGTATTGTATGTACCCCATATTAGTAATGTCAGCTAGCAAACAAATTGATTAACATAACGAACGTTAGGTTAATCCTAGTTAAAAGACCCTAATCAGCTTAAAACAGTGAAGTAACACGAATTAATAAGATATCTAACCATATCGTACCGTATACTGTAATTAAATTTTCCTGTGTAACTGGGTCTCATGGCTATCTTTGCTTAGAAAGATTGAACATACGAGTATAGTATAGAAACTGCGAACACGCACAAAGACTACCTTGTTTATAAATGTACTGTGTAAGGCGCGAACGCATCCAATTCCAGAAATTTCTAGTAGTCCGTAACTGAGCTGTGTAAACATACGTGCTATTACTTCGTGTTAGCCGAAGTATGGCTGTTAGTTAACATCGCTACTCCCAATCACTACCACTATGAAGTACAACTACAGTATTATTACATTAAACGCTCTATTTAATTGTACTGTATACTAACTATACTTTTCTGTTACGTTACTTATTGGAATTGCTAATTTCCACGCACTTTCTACTTTAATCTGATCCAAACCTATGTCGTAG